TTCTATATTATATTCTGAGTGAGTGAAATAAGCATATTCATCATTTAACTCTACATGCATCCCATGTAGTTGGAAATGCAATAGGTATATGTTAGCAATATTCTAACAGGGGGCTTCCAAAATATTTTTCTTGTACTTTTTGTTATGAATTCCATGCACAGGGGAGTGGAGAGAGACTGCAAAGATGAGAGGTGAAAGAATTGGGACTCTTTCATTTGGCTTTCTATTAAACAAAGGGTTTTTCATGACCATAACCAGGAAAAGAGAAAATAAACACATTAAGTAAGGTTGCAGGGTATGTTTATATTTTGATCCTAACAAATATACAGAATACAGGAGAATTTAATTTATGCTTATGAAGGAGTTTGAGGAGGAGGTCAAAATCTCAATTGAGAAGGAGTACTTGAGGATTTGCCTCTCCTAGGACAACTTTTGGTTGATGCACAAAAGGTTTTCTCTAAAGAAGTATTTTGATGAATCATCTCTAGCAAAAATGATGGCAAAAGGTCTAGAGAAGGGATGAATTTCACCTGATCGGTATAGAGTATAGAAGTGGGTGAGCAATGGCACCATTGCATGCTCCAATATTAGATCTTCCCTGACTCTTCCCCAAGATTTCTAGAAGACACAGTACAGAGAAACAGGCATTCTCCATGGCATCCTCACCTCCTAACAATATGGGAAGTGACCTGGATATGTGGATATATGTGTGAAAGCATAACAAACATTTTCCCCATTTTTCATTTTTATGTCAGTATCATCCTGCTGTCAGGAGGAGCATAATAGGGGAGCACTATGCATAGCTGTACTAATTTGTAAATTATAGTACTATTTTAAATGATATCCCAACTAACACTAGGCATTTTAATTGAAGGTAAATAACCAACCTGATTGCCATTTGAGCAATAGCAACAGCATAGAGAATAATGTACTACTGAGGGATCAATTGCTATTTCTCTCATATACCATTCAGAGATTTATATTGCTTTTTAATTATCCATCCTGTGAAATACTGAGAGCTCCTTGGCGATCGCTGCCCTCCCCCACCCCACCCCCATTAAAGTCAGTGGGAATTCAAGACTCAGTATCCCATACAGGAGATGCTATGCTCCTACCAGGATTGGTCATTCTCAATGTCTATCAGGAAGAAACTTGTCATACTAGTAAGAAGCTTTTTCTAAAAGAAATGTAAATGTGCTTTGGATTTCACTGAGCAGTATAGCTACAGCCTGATGAAAGGAAAAGGGGGCACTTGAGTCACCTTTTAATAGTCTTTTAAAGCAAAAATTGCAATATTTATAATAAATATATACCACAGCCTCTTTGGGTATAGGGTGTGTGTGTGTGTGTGTGTGTGTGTGTCCATACAGTTGTTCTGCTATTTTAAAGATGGCTTTAATTATTTAGATGCTAATTATTTAGTTGCACACTGCATGCCTAAATATATTTTCTAAATCAGCAATTTTTTTAAATAACATGTTACATTTCAGTCTGGCAGTTCATTCAGTGGTGTGGTATTGTGTACAAAAGACCTGTGAATCCAATCTGATGTCATTGGAAATGTCTTATTCATTCTGCTGTTGGAAGAATTGTAACTGTTCCTTCACACTGCATCAGGTCTGGAGGAGCCATGACCCAGATACAATGTCAATGGAAAGGTTTATATTCCACTTGGAGTGAATCATACATTTGCATGTTCAAAAAAGCACAGTCAAATTTAGCCTGCTTTACTCACCAGAGTAGTGTCATTGATTTTAGTAGGACTAATTCAGGATAGAAGGCTAGTAATGATATTTTCATTTGTTACTTTTTATTAAAAGCAAAGGAAACCACCATTTAAAAATAAAAATGGTATGAATGATATAGCTCCAATCTAGAAATACTCACATAAGAATCAGTTTTAAATGTATAATTGGTCTGGATGTAAATGAAAGCAGTTAATTCCTATAGATACATACCTTGCAAGATATTGCTGTTAACAGGCCTAAGAGTGAAAAGCAGCTACTGCCTCCTTTTCCTGTATGTTTTAATGAATAAAGAGTTTCATTAGGCTTAACTCAGTGCATGATTCTCAACATACTGGGGTGTCCAATACACTTCTGGGCAATTTAATTAGCTTCTGGAGTGGATCCAATCTTAATAAAATTCACTGGACCCAATCCTGTTCCCATTGAAGTCAATGACAAAATGCCCAATGATTTCAATGAGAGCTAAAGCAGGCCAGTTGTTGACAGGGAATTGGTGCCTATTTGCTCATCAGTGCATAGCAGACTTACATGTATCAACTTCATTAGTATTAAAGGGAGTTACCAGAGGAAATCCCCTGAATATTTATAGGATGGGTTCTTTCTTTTTCTGTAGATTCCTACTGAGACAGGCTAGCTATGGGAGCAAATAAGATTTTCCCATACATTTTATATGAGATTGCAACAGGGCACAAAAATCCATGACTTACCATTTGACTTGTGAGCTATGACAGAAGTCTGATGAAAAAACAGATCTGTAGCCTAGAAAAATTCCTCACAGATTTCCAGAAGTACTGACTCATCTCATCTCATCTCAGGAGCCAATTCATCCCCAGTGGGATTTCTATAGTGCCATGGGCGTTTATGTATCTAATCTATTCACAACAGATTGGTTCCAGGAGAACTGGTTACATGCTGGGACTTCCCACAAATTTCAGGTGAGATCAGGTGAGCTCCAAGAAATGATTCTGCACAAACAGAACAATTTAATAAGACAGTGCATCTAGTTTCTTGGAGATCTTAAAGACTGGATCAGTTAGATTTTAGTATGCATGCTGAATATGACCTACAGATTTTTTTTTAAGTAAGTAAAAAACAAAACAAAATGAAATCATTATGCCGTTTCATATCATCAGGATTCTGGCAAACAAACAAGCTCCAGCCAGAATGTGCAAGTAGGGCCCAACGTAATTCTCACACTGAGAAAAATCAGGAGCAACTGCATTCCATTTTGTGGAGTTTCAGCGTGTCAAACCAGTGGTCAGAGTAGAATCAGGCCTTACTGCTTATAGCTCATGGAAACGTCTACCATGACATTGTCATAGCTTAGCTCGCTAATTTAGATCCTGACCTTACACCGATTTGCACAGGTGCTAAACAGTCTGCACTGCAAGGAACCTGACTACAGTCAATGAAACTAATCCTGGCGTGTAAAGTTAAGCAGGTACATGGGCCTCTGCATGGGGATTTCTACGTAGGGGGTGGGACAGAGAACTAAAATGCACTCTTTATACCTTTAAAAAGGTCATTCCACCCCCTCCTCCTATTCAGAGTCCCAGATTTAAGTGTTTCTCACTGTACCCTTTATGCATCACGCCTTGTGATTAGGCATTGAGGGGCCATGCAACCACTAATCACCATTAATTATGATTTTTATTCCTACTGTTGGATTCGACTCACAAATGTTAATGCCACATCCTGCAGCCCTTACTCATTCAAGTAGTCATTCACCCAGGTAAACAGTCCTACTGGAAGCAGTGAGGCAGTTTACATGGGCAAAGGCTGTTTGCATTCGGTTGCAGGACTGGGCCCTTTGTTTCTTACCCTGATGTTCAGTTCCGGAGCGGTGGTTCCGAATCCTCTGGAGGACTTAACAGAAAGTTGAAGCAAGGCATTATTAAATTAAAAGGCTGCAATACGCAGCAAGACGACCTAAGCAGGACTCTGCGGTACGTGCCCGTTAATTTTAATGCGCCGTCTCCAAAGTACAGAACTCTGGACCTTTCTAGCATCATATTTAAAACATGGTACATTTACAAATACGTGACCTGACGCATTAATGGAGCAAATTAAGTTACAGGTATGAATTTTACATAAAACGGATTAATATTATATGTCATGGAGGAATTTTAAATACTCCGTCTCCATGCATTTTTAATGGTTATGGGCTCTAATTTAATGTTCCAAGGCAACTGCTTTTTTTTCTTGCCTTCCCTCCAGCCCCAGCTCCCCCCTTGGCACTCAAGTCCGATTCCAATTTCTTTCTCCCTTTCCTGTAACCCAGCTTCCTCCAAAGATGTGTACAAGGGGCAGAACAGCCCTGACAGGGGGACAGAAACGTGTCTCCCCCCCCGCAGAAGTCAGTTCTCCTGGGGATAATCAAGCAGCGGGAAAGATGCACAGAAGAGGTGAGGGGGGGACACTGTGGAAGGCAAAAACGCTATCATAAATCATCCCTGCTTGCGCTGGGCTCAGGGAAAGGGGATGCCTCCCGAGTGGTGTGTGGGGGCCGCTGGGAGCAGCAAGGACCCGGCAGCCCCCCTCAGCAGCAGCAGCAGGCGAACGGATGCCATTGGCATTCCCGCAGTTCTTCGGAAGGAACTTCTGTCTGCTCCTCCTCTCCCCGAGACCCCACAGCCTTGACGGAATGGAGCGGCCTCGCCATTGGCCAGCGCGGCGTTCCATGCGGGGAGGGGGCGCCGCCGATTGGCTAAAGCGCGCGGCTCGGCCCGCACTCCCTCACCTCTGCACAGAGTCCCCCCGCCTTTCCCCGGGCCG